AACTATCTGTAGGTTCTATTGACTGAAGCTAAGCCATCCCAACTGAAAACAAATACTGAAATGGTTTTGGAGGTGGCACAATCTCCACTCCTTCAGCATCTTTACTACTGCACTCATTGGCGGCCTTCCTTCTGGTGAGTCTTGTACACACCACAATGCCACAGTACTCATTCTCTCTGCTTTCTTTCTGTCTTTCTCTTCAATCCCACAAGCTGATGTCATTATATTCAATTCATCTTTCTCATATGCTTCCCAAACATGTTTAGGAAACCAATCAAGGCTATCGCTAGGACCAACAGTTTGTATTTCTTCTTCGACCAATTATCTCAAACGGTACCATTCCAAAGCTGTAAACATCACATTTATGTGTTATTGGGTGATTCTTTAACAAGAAATTCTGGTGCTGAATACCCAAGAGTGCCCCTATATTCTGTGAGTGTACATGTGTTATGTCTCTATTGCAAAGCTTTGCGAGTCCAAAATCTCCCACTCTAGGAAAGAAATTTACATCTAGCAGAATATTTTCAGGCTTTATGTCATAAAGAATGATTCTTTGCTGCCATTCTTCATGCAAGTAAGCTAAACCTCTGGCTGTCCCAATCGCAATTTCATGTAACTTCTCCCATTCGATTGTCTGTATCTCGCTAGACAAGTACTTGTCAAGGGAGCCATTTTCCATGTACTCATAAAAAAAGTGCGCTCATGCACTGGTCATGGCAAAAACCATAAAGTCTAAACAGATTTATGTGTTATGTTCTTCCAATTGTGCCAATTTCCACCATTAACTGCTCATCTTCAGCTCTTCTGTCTAGACTTCTATTAAGAACCTTTACTGCAATCTCCACTACATTTGGAAACTGACCCTTGTAGACGCCCCAAAACCTCTAGAACCCAACTAGTAAAACAAAATAGCTGTTGTGCCCTAAATCTTACAGGCTTCTCCTTGGCCATTTCTTGGAGGAAGTTCTCCATGGTAGGAGCAGTAGCCTCCCAAACTGGAACCATATTGTGGGGTGTGTAGTTTGCTGCAGCAACAACTGCTTGCAAATCTTGTACAATCACTTTTCTGGCTTTCTTTGCATGTTTGTAAGCAATAACACCAATTACTTCGAGCACTACCAAGCTCGATATGGCGGCTACAGTTATTATTTATCATTTCAAATTGTGATCATTTAAATAAAGTTATTGTTAATAGAACTCAGATTATAAACGATTGTTTTCTGAACTGCAGTATTAACTTGGGTATCTGGGGCAGGCGGGTTGAGAATTTCATTAAGATCTGGTATATCTGAACTAGGAGGATTTGAAATTGATGTCATGTAACGAAAATCTGTTAACAAATACAAACGTTGAAGACCAGAAAAAGAAATACGCAGGATGACAACATCCCACTTTATTGAAGACCAAAAATTAATGGAACTTTCTCAATTACAATAATATTGATTACTATAATTAATCCTTAAGTATCTAATATTATAATAAACTGATAACATAATGCATGAAGCAATGACCATACTTAACTCTATCTGCAGAACCTCGTTGCTTCTAATTTCTATACAAAACAAACAAAACCTCTGAAAATTTTCCTTTTTAATGTTCTTTACTCTGCTGAAGTCTAATTAAATAGAAAAAAAATACAGAGGAAAATAGTATGGTAACTACCAGGAAATCCTTTAGTGAGAATGACATATAACAACCGTTGAAATAAATTTCGAACATGTCTCATAATTAATACATATATTTATATCAAATTTAAAGAAAAATTTATTACAGATAATTGTTCCATTAGGTGTTACCGATAGGTCTTCTGTTCGAATCGCATAAGAAATACGTATCACATTTATATAATTATCTTGGTTCATTAGGTTTTTAGATTATTATGTGGCCCCGAGGATTAGACAGGTTCCATAGATACCTCAGATATTTAAAAAAATAATAATAACAAATAAAAAAATAACAAATCATTATTAATTATTTGGAAAAAAAAAAAATTTTACCCAGGAAAAAAAATAAAGGCCGTAGATTTGGGCCCTCCTCAGAATGTGGGCTAAAGTTCAAAAAACTAAGCCCAATACTAAAAACGTAAAGGACACAAACCTAATAATAAATCGGGTCGGTTCACGGGTAATGGGGGTATAATATTGTGCCGTCGGGGTTGCGCAAGCAACTGCTGGAAACTCGTTTATTCATTCATCATAATCATAAATATTCACCGTCTCACGTCTCACCGTCTACGAGCCGTCGTATTGAGTCGTATAAATATCTAAACGCAGGGTCGTGTTTTGAGTTCCCCACCAATTTTGTTGTGTGCAATCAAATATCGGAAGGAGAAAGAAATGCCAGGACTAACCTGTAATGCTTGTAACAAAGAATTCAGCGATGACACCGAACAGAAGCTTCATTACAAGTCCGATTGGCATCGCTACAATCTCAAACGCAAGGTCCTTTTGCTTCCTTAGTTTTTCATTTTTATTATTGTTTTAGAAGAGAAAAATAAAAATAAAAACACTTGATTAACTGAAAGATGATTCAAGTAGTTATGTTTGGAAATTTTGGATGCTGGAATTTTATGATTTAAAGGTTGTATCTTGTTTAGTTTTATATTGTTTCTAATATGTCAATTTTTTTAGGGAAAATATAAGCTATACCTCTGTGAGGTCTATGAATTTGCTATAATGGTCTTTTGTTGCTGCTTAACAAATTACATTTAGGTTGGCTTGGGGGTTTGAGGACCTTTGGGCTGTCAAGCAAATGGTGATGGAGAATATAAATACAGTGATAGAACAAATTTTATGATAACACACACGTTGATTGAAATAGACTGAAGTGTTCCCAAAAATTGATTTTTGAATGAATCCTAAAACCTAGTGTAAAATTAGAAAACCCAAAAAAAAAAAAAAAAAAGGGTTGTTTAGGTTTTAAATCTGAAACTTACATTACCAGATATTAAAATTATTTAGATACAACTCATTTTTTTTATATAAAATTACTTTCGGAACCAACCAAATGAGCCCTAGTTAATGAATGTAAAATTAATAATTTTCTTTTGTAAATAAATTAGGTAGCTGGGGTTCCAGGAGTGACAGAAGCGTTATTTCTGGCTAGACAATCAGCCCTTGTTCAAGAGAAGAATAAGTTGAGTGAAACTCCGATGCTTTATAGTTGTGGGCTTTGTGGAAAGGGGTATAGAAGTTCCAAGGCTCATGCACAGCATCTTCAATCAAAAAGCCACATCATGCGGGCTTCTCAAGGAATGAATGATGAAGACAGTGAGAAGGTAATAATTAAGCCACATCCGCGTCGTGCTGTAAATAAGCCTCCTCCTCGAAGAGAGGCTGACAATGAAGAAAGCGAAGAAAGTGAAGATGAATGGGAGGAGATTGATTCAGAAGAAGAATTGGTTGGTGAGGCTGCAAAGTCCCTGACTAATTTGAATGTGGGATCCACCTCTGATGATGTCATGGAGGATGAAGATAAGGACTTCGAGGAGTTTGATCCATCTTGCTGCTTCCTGTGTGATCTTGAGCATGAGACGATTGAGAGCTGCATGGTTCACATGCACAAGCATCATGGTTTCTTCATTCCTGATGTTGAGTATCTGAGGGATCCTAGAGGCCTGCTTACTTATCTTGGTCTTAAGGTAGTGATTATGGGTTATATTATGTTCTTTATTTGTATAATATTGGTTAACAAATTTACTTTTTCATAAACCACAATTTAGTTTCACTTACATGCTTCTTCTTTTTTACAGGTAAAGAGGGACTTCATGTGTTTGTACTGCAATGACAGGTGCCATCCTTTTAACGGCTTGGAAGCAGTTAGGAAGCATATGCAAGCAAAAAGTCATTGCAAAGTGCATTATGGTGATGGTGGTGAAGATGAGGAGGCAGAGTTAGAAGAGTTCTATGATTATAGCAGCAGGTTGTTTTCTCATTTTTCCACTTTAGTTAACCTATCCTTTTGCATTTATATTTCTTTTTCCTTTTGCAGTTTGTAGGTTGTTTGTTTGTTTTTTTATTTGAACAAGTTCATGCCCTGTTCTATATATGTTAACATCTTTACTTTATCATTGTTTAACAGTTACATGGATGAGGACGGTAAACAGTTGATCTCATCTAGTGATATGGGCAACACTGTAGAACTTGGTGGTGGGTCTGAACTTATCATCACCAGAAGAACAGATAATAGGGTGGCAACTAAAACTTTTGGTTCCCGTGAATATTTGCGCTATTATCGCCAGAAGCCACGCCCAACACCTGCAAATAATATGGCCATCACAGCTGCACTGGCCTCAAGGTTTGCTTCTGATCTTTTGCTTAACGTGCTCTTTGCAATGACAATAGGATGGAAATCTGAAAAACAAATTCCCTTTTCTTCAACTACAAAATACAAATAGGTATAAAATGTCAAAAATAAAGTTAGCTACAATTATATGGTGAAAGAGAAATGGTTTTTTATTACAGGTACAGGAGCATGGGGTTAGCAACTGTACAATCAAGGGAGCAAATGGTGAGAATGAAGGTGATAAAGGAGATGAATAGATCAGGGGTAGAGGCCATGCGGACAAAGATTGGTATGAAGAGTAATGTCATCCGAAACCTGCCCAAGAATGTCCCGTACTAGCCCAAACTAGTGATTTTGATGGAGAGGTTATATGTCTGAGGACCTTCTGTTAACTATTCATGTTTTTTAACATTGTAAGCTTTAGGTTATCTCGGTTGGAAAATACCTGTTTACGGGTTTTGCCAAATATTTCTATGCTGTTATTTGTCATATATCAGACCACTTAATGGTGTCTATCTACACCTTAATTAATACTATCTTTTGTTTCTAAACCAAATTCGGCGAACATATTATTAAATAATGTCAGCTGGTTCGACTTTGCGTCTGTTTTTTCTGTTGAATACGCCAATCGGAAACAGAATATGTAAAGCCCTTTACAGCCAGAAATACTGATATAATGGAGATTACTGATCACTGCTTTTGTTTGAGTCATCATCTGTATAAAGTTCTAAAAGTTTATAAACCGAATAATGTGAACAAAATGGTTAGAGACAAATTAGTATCTAAGCAAACATAAAAGCAAGAAGATTTCGGAAACAGAAGTGGTCAAAGCAGAACCACTTGGAATTCTAGAGTTTGAAATTCATGTCCAGCACAAATATGTAACAGAATATGTCACAGATGTAGCTTTTACATGTTTGAATGCTAATTGGATTTAGTATCCCAGTAGTGCTTTCTACTCCCAAGGATCATCATCACGAAACCCTTCTCTTTTGATCATTTGCTTTCATTTTTCTATTCTGGCACTGCAGAGAACCACAAAGAAACTGTTAAAAGTTACTACATAAGTTCAAACAATCAAGAAGATTTGACAGTGCAAAATACCTAATTGTCATAGAAGCGGGATCGACGTCTCCGTGAACTGTGAAATACAGGAAGGCAATGCATCACTTAGAAAGAAAGGCAATGCATCACTTACAAAGAAAATTAGGCAACGAAATAAAATAAGTTCAAATATTTTTTCGGCGAACATGAGACATTGATAATACAGATTTGAATTGCATGCCTCCCTCATTATCATGGTCACCATATACACATGCATCAAACTCCATTCCAACCACACCGACTTACCACACCATATAAGATTGCATATGCTGAAAACAAACTTCACCTATTGAGAAAATCATCTAGACAAATAACTAGTGATTATAAATTATTCTCCGAGGCCAACAATTTTAAAGAAAATAGCACTTGCTGATTGCTGCAGCCTACCCCAACAACCTGTACATCTTATTACCAGTATTTAACTGGTAAATCAGAAGGCAAACTTTACATAATCTACCCCTACAACCTTTACATCTTATTACCAGTATTTAACTGGTAAATCAGAAGGCAAACTATACATTATATACTCTACATCCAGATCACATGTCGTTAAGTTGTCACTTTTAATCCTCAGAGCTCTATATTACCCATATCTTTTTTTTTTTTTTTTTTCTGCGTTTTCTGTTCTTAAGTCAGCTCAACAATTTGAAAATACAATATCTTCGATGGTAACTCAAACAAGTCTCCATAAGATGCTTAACAACATGTGGACCCACAAATTTGGGCCATTTCAATTTCCCAAAATTTTAATCACAAAGAGATTGATAGATAGCTATGGTATAAAATCAAACTTATGAATGGAAATTATGAAGCTATTTATAATAATATGAAATAGTAAAAATAAGAAATAGGAAGTAGAAATAAACACCACTGACCTGCGATAACCAGAGCTACCTCTGGAAGGGCCACTTGTACTCACAAACTCATCATCTGTCTCATCTATTCTATACTCTGCAAATTCTACAGACGTCACGGAACCTTCATCAGAGTTAGAAGTATCATAACTCAGGCGGCGACTTCCTCTTCTAGTATCACTGACTCTTGATCTCCTTCTGTTTCTAGCATTCCTTAAGTTATCAAATACCTGATACAAGATGCAGGAGGTCCACCAGTTGCCCTCATCACCAGGGAAGTCTTCAAATTCATCTCCGGTGTCATCATCCCCATATTCAATAACATAGTCTCCCAAAACCACCCCACGTGGTACTTCTGAATGGATTGTGCTCAAAACATCAATGATCTCAGACGACTGCTGGAAATTTTCCCAATCAAGCTGCCGAGCAGGATCAATTTTTGAAGGACGGGAATGGGGGTGCTCTAGTTGAGCATGTTTTTGTAGTTCCATGTAGGTTCCAGTAAAAGAACATCGGTCCTCCTCACAACCACGCTTCTTCTCATTCAGAATTGTACGGACCTTATCAACAACCACCCACCCTGTGACTTCACCTCTACACAAGGGACAAGCTGGTCTGCAACTACCCTCTGATGCCACTGGTTGAATGTCTGTCGTGGGGTTTACATCAGAAGTTGATGGGGGTGACATACCATAGGCATTTTTGAAACGGTCCAAACAATTTGAGTGCAAATGATCTGTGTCACACACAAAAGCACGACATCCTTTTTCATAAGATGAACATTGGAGAAGTACACCATTGTGAGGGAAATCCAAGCATATTGGGCAAATCACATCATTCCAATTGGTATTCAACTGAACATCCTCAATGTCGGAGGCATTCAGTTGGCGCCCCCTCCCACGAAAACGTTCAAAGGCCATACTATTAATTACACAAAAACCCAGAAGCACATGATATGCACTTTCCTCCCAGAAAAGAAACGTAGATCCAATTAACAGAAACTTATTGAAAATTCAAAGCATAAACCAACCAGCTCCAGGTTATGACAGTAGAACAATCATCGGTCTATTATACCATGCCATCCAACGTAACTGCATCTAACTGTAAAACAAGTTAGGCAGAAATAAAACAACGAGTGAAGTGCACAAGGAATTAACACTTCTATGCTCTTTGGAATATAAGATCAAAAGCACAAGAAACTAGAACTTATGAATTCTAATGAGTAAATAGCATATAATTTGCTTTGCCCTAATATAGGATGCTAATCCATTTTAATTGTTCATCAAAGTGGCTTAGCACTTGGCGGCTGCATTAAAACTCCAGGACCCTTAATTCATTTCTCAAAAACCATAGTCAAATAACATGTATGAAAAACTGAACAACATACAACAAAAGCTAACAGAGAGAACATTTTCCTTGCCTGGCGTCAATTTATTCCAGCAACCAAACAGAGAGAACATTTTCAATCAATATATAACATGTTTACAACTGTTTGAACAAGTCAGAACTTGAAATTCAAAAAAGGAAAAGAACCAAAAACCCAAACAACAATCATCACACAAAAAATAAAATTATGCGCCTATCATCTGAACACTTTAGAATTGCATCATTTAAACCTTAATCAACTGATTAAACAAAACAGAAAACACATAATAAAAGTCAATCTCTATGCTTTCTATAACACACTCCAAGATTCCAACAAGTTATACGCATATAAAACCATCAAAATTGACACTGATAAACAAATTGATCAATCCAAATAGACGTAATCACAAAAGTCATCGAAAATAATCTTTAAAAAAAATAAAAATAAAAGTAACCCAATACCGTGGCGAACAAAAATAAGCCATCGCTATATTGCCAAGAAACATCAAGATTGAAAAATAAAAAATCATGGGAAATCAGTCGAAAAGGGATCCGGTAAAACCAAAAACAAACCAAAACCGTAGCTGTAAAATCAATAAATCAGCAATCAAAGGAATGAAATTGAAAGCAGAATCACCTTAGAAACGAAAATTTTTGAAAAACCCAGATGGAGATAAGAGCAAAGAGATAGAGAGACGTCTTTGCTGTGTGTCTATTGTTGAGTTTTGTGTATGTGTTTAGGTCAGTTTTCGTAGTAGGTAGCTTCTCTTTCCTTTGGTCTTCTGTATAATGTAATTATATATATACTTTTTTATTATTTAATAGATTATTATATTCTCGTATTTGTTTCTTTTTCTAAAATAAAGATAAAATATGTAAAGTCACATCTTTTTTTCAAATCACGAAATTACCCTTTCTGTACTTTGACCATTTGCGAGACCAATACATTACGGTATTACGTATTAGTTCATTCTTCCACGTTGTATTCGGATTGAAGTCCAAATCCTCTTTCACATTTGTTAGTTTGCCCACCAATTTTGGTATTATTTTACAAGAATTTTATTATTTTCTTGAGCATTTCCAGTCAACCCCTTTGTGATTGGATGGGTAAAAAGTCAAACCAAATAATTTTTTATATATATTTGTTATTTACTCCTTTAACTTTTGGGTACAAAATATAATTGAGACCGAGACCCACATGGCAGAAAAATGGCTTGGCGTGCCAAATTGAAATAGCAGGGGAAGGTGAATGAATGTCGGGAGTACAAATAATAATGCAAAAAAGGGGAGAATAGTGTTTATTTAGACCTCAGCCACCCAACTTGGCAATAATAAAGACAAAGAATCAATCAAATTTTACATATTATTCCATGCGGGACCAAAGCTAAAGCTATTACTAATACAAAAGCTGAAGGCTACTATCCTAAAATGCACATTAAATAGATAATACAACACCGCAGATGGAAACTCAGACTATAATTGATCCTCAATTATACGGGTTACAATGCCTACAGCAATAGTTCTTCCTAAAGCTCTTAGAAAAACTCTACCGAGAGCTCTACAGTTTGAGAACTCCTCCACACAGACTGGTCCTTGCAAAGCTACCTGAAAGTAGAGGATATACAAAGGTCAAAACAAATCTTGTCTTGCTTCTAGGTTAACATTTCCAACTAAGCCAGCAAAATTATATATTATTCACCTCAACTACTGCACTCTGCTTTGCAGTAAGACAGCGGGGTGCCTTTTTTGTAACTTTTCCGGTCTTTGTATCAAGTAATGACACTATCTTTACAATTCTTGCAACCTCCTTTGCGTGGTGTATATGAAATTCCAACTGATTATTCCAATCAGATGATCAGATGATATTTATCAAAGCAATAACATTGTCCAGCAAAAGATTAGTGAAAATCTTAATGAAGCAAAAGCTTTACCTGAGAACCAATTAAAATAGGAGCTGCAAAATCCAAAACAAGCACCCTCAGCTCCAAATGTGTTGAAATTGCGACAGGGAAATCAGGGTGGCATAACACACCTCCAGCCATCACATGGCTTACATCAATACCTTGAAGACTGACACCTACACTATCTCCAGCTCTTGCAACGGCACAAGCCTGAGAGTCACGATCTAGGGAATGCACAGTGCCTATATCTCCAGATGGCATGACTAAGACCTAGAATTTCAGACACAATGGTATAGTTTATAGTTTAAAAAAGGCAACAATAGTTACAAATGGCACATCTATTGGAGGAAAAAAATTCACATTAGCGAGCAAACTCAGACAGCAAAGAACTAATATTAAAAGCAACTAAAACAAATGAGTCATTCTTTATCCAATAGCTATTTTAAAAACCACATACTGAATAATTTGACACCACTTGCCCAATCACTATATGCAGGATGGTGACTGCAAGCTCTACATCTTGGAAATAGAACACTTACAAATAATGCAGCAAAGGCAAATCTATCTGAAGAAAAGATTCTGTAGTGTATATGAGTATATCTTCAAACTCAAAAGTTTTTAAGAGAGGAGGTTTCTATTCCTTTTATATAAGATAAGAGAAGAATCAAAGTTAAAAATCATGCTGAAGAATGATACCACTTACATAAAAACTTATCATATACAGAATATGTTTTGTAAAGCTTTAGATATGACACTTGACTAGAAACCAAAAATTTAAAACAGATATCAACCTATTTATTTGGAAACAACAAAATAAAGGTTCAATCAATCACATCTACCATCAAATAAAGGCATACCTTCATTCCACTTCGAAGAGCTCCAGCCTCCAATTTACCACAGGCAGACACATGCCCATGCTGTAATTTAACAACATCACATATGGGCATAATTAGAGGCTTTGAAAAATCTCTAGCAGGAGGTTGTAAAGAATCAATTGCATCCAACAGACAGGGCCCCTGATACCTGCAACAGCATACCTAGTCAGATTTCAACCTTTGTGACATCAGCAGAAATTTATGAAAAGCAATCCAACAGAAGTCCCTTCAAAGCAGTGACAAGAGAAACCCATTACCCTCATCAGTCATATATTGAATGTATTTTAGAGTGTAATCATTACTCACCAAGATGAAAGCTGAACATCAGAAGGAGCTGCCACCAAATTTTGATTTTCAATGGCACTCAATGGAATCCATGACACGGAGGAATCCTTAAATTTACAAGAACGAAGAAATGTTCCAAGTTGTAGTTTTATTGATTCAAACCGATCTTTGGAATATTGCACAGCATCCATCTTGTTGACGGCAACTATAAGTTGATCAACACCAAAACTTCTAATGAGTTGTGCATGCTCCCTTGTCTGCCCTTTTGTACTGTCCATACCAACTTCAAATGAACCGACCGAGGCATCTATGACAAGAATTGCAGCATCAGATTGTGTTGCTCCAGATATCATGTTTGGAACAAAATCCTTATGGCCAGGGGAGTCAAGCACAACAACATGTTATTTTTTGGAATCAAAATATGCAACAGCGACAGTCATAGTAATTCCCCGTTCCCTTTCTTCAGTGCTCTCGTCCAATGCCCAAGCGTAAGCAAAGGATCCTTTGCCCTGATTGAATTATAAACACTACATTAATCCATCAAAAACAAGTATGAACAGCAATAATGCATGCAAATATGCCACACAAACAAACAAAGTCACTATGAGATACCTGTAATTTGGCTTCTTTTTCATATTTGTGCATTTCTTTTTGAGATATTCGTCCGAGAAGAAACAGCAGTCTACCTGAGAGTGTTGATTTTCCCGAATCAACATGGCCAACCTAGATGATATCAGGTAAGTAAGCATCACAGATATGACTAAATAAAAAACTGAAAGCTCGATTTCTTGTAACAAAAGACAAAAATTCAGTGGTTGACTTACTATTGCAAGATTTAGTTGAGTCAATCTATCTCCTGTATTGTCAGGAAGCATCCATTTTTCAGGCTTATACTGTGTATTTGAATTCTTTCTTCTAGCATTAACACTAGATGAGCTTCCAGATTTAAGAGACAATGACGAGTTCTTTGTATTACTGGGACCACTTTGTAGTTGAGCTATATTAGTTGAAGAACCACTGCTATCATGTGCATCACTTAAACAGATGCTAACTGCATCACTAGAATGACTGCCATGTCTGTCTTTTGACATTACAGTAGAAGAGCTATCTGAACTTCTAGTGCTTACTTGTACTACTTCATTCTTCGAATATTTTCTATTATTCATGGTATCTTGCTTGTCTTTTGGCACTAATGCTTTGGCACTATCAGATTTTTTGGCACTTAATTTATCAACTGCACCATTTTTCTCAGAGAAACTGGAGGAAACTCTGGAAGATTTCGTGTCTAGAAGATTGCCTACAGTTCAAGACAATACAGCAGTATGATACAGTTATTTAGACCTCAGCCACCCAACTTGGCAATAATAAAGACAAAGAATCAATCAAATTTTACACATTATTCCATGCGGGACCAAAGCTAAAGCTATTACTAATACAAAAGCCGAAGGCTACTATCCTAAAATGCACATTAAATAGATAATACAACACCGCAGATGGAAACTCAGAGCCCCGCTGCTTTTGACTGTTAAATACTTCAAAAGCAAAATTAGGCTTGATCCTCAATTATACGGGTTACAATGCCTACAGCAATAGTTCTTCCTAAAGCTCTTAGAAACACTCTACCGAGAGCTCTACAGTTTGAGAACTCCTCCACACAGACTGGTCCTTGCAAAGCTACCTGAAAGTAGAGGATATACAAAGGTCAAAACAAATCTTGTCTTGCTTCTAGGTTAATATTTCCAACTAAGCCAGCAAAATTATATATTATTCACCTCAACTACTGCACTCTGCTTTGCAGTAAGACAGCGGGGTGCTTTTTTTGTAACTTTTCCGGTCTTTGTATCAAGTAATGACACTATCTTTACAATTCTTGCAACCTCCTTTGCATGGTGTATATGAAATTCCAACTGATTATTCCAATCAGATGATCAGATGATATTTGTCAAAGCAATAACATTGTCCAGCAAAAGATAGTGAAAATCTTAATGAAGCAAAAGCTTTACCTGAGAACCAATTAAAATAGGAGCTGCAAAATCCAAAACAAGCACCCTCAGCTCCAAATGTGTTGAAATTGCGACAGGGAAATCAGGGTGGCATAACACACCTCCAGCCATCACATGGCTTACATCAATACCTTGAAGACTGACACCTACACTATCTCCAGCTCTTGCAACGGCACAAGCCTGAGAGTCACGATCTAGGGAATGCACAGTGCCTATATCTCCAGATGGCATGACTAAGACCTAGAATTTCAGACACAATGGTATAGTTTATAGTTTAAAAAAGGCAACAATAGTTACAAATGGCACATCTATTGGAGGAAAAAAATTCACATTAGTGAGCAAACTCAGACAGCAAAGAACTAATATTAAAAGCAACTAAAACAAATGAGTCATTCTTTATCCAATAGCTATTTTAAAAACCACATACTGAATAATTTGACACCACTTGCCCAATCACTATATGCAGGATGGTGACTGCAAGCTCTACATCTTGGAAATAGAACACTTACAAATAATGAGGCAAAGGCAAATCTATCTGAAGAAAAGATTCTGTAGTGTATATGAGTATATCTTCAAACTCAAAAGTTTTTAAGAGAGGAGGTTTCTATTCCTTTTATATAACATAAGAGAAGAATCAAAGTTAAAAATCATGCTGAAGAATGATACCACCAACATAAAAACTTATCATATACAGAATATGTTTTGTAAAGCTTTAGATATGACACTTGACTAGAAACCAAAAATTTAAAACAGATATCAACCTATTTATTTGGAAACAACAACATAAAGGTTCAATCAATCACATCTACCATCAAAGAAAGGCATACCTTCATTCCACTTCGAAGAGCTCCAGCCTCCAATTTACCACAGGCACACACATGCCCATGCTGTAATTTAACAACATCACATATGGGCATAATTAGAGGCTTTGAAAAATCTCTAGCAGGAGGTTGTAAAGAATCAATTGCATCCAACAGACAGGGCCCCTGATACCTGCAACAGCATACCTAGTCAGATTTCAACCTTTGTGACATCAGCAGAAATTTATGAAAAGCAATCCAACAGAAGTCTCTTCAAAGCAGTGACAAGAGAAACCCATTACCCTCATCAGTCATATATTGAATGTATTTTAGAGTGTAATCATAACTCACCAAGATGAAAGCTGAACATCAGAAGGAGCTGCCACCAAATTTTGATTTTCAATGGCACTCAATGGAATCCATGACACGGAGGAATCCTTAAAATTACAAGAACGAAGAAATGTTCCAAGTTGTAGTTTTATTGATTCAAACCGATCTTTGGAATATTGCACAGCATCCATCTTGTTGACGGCAACTATAAGTTGATCAACACCAAAACTTCTAATGAGTTGTGCATGCTCCCTTGTCTGCCCTTTTGTACTGTCCATACCAACTTCAAATGAACCGACCGAGGCATCTATGACAAGAATTGCAGCATCAGATTGTGTTGCTCCAGATATCATGTTTGGAACAAAATCCTTATGGCCAGGGGAGTCAAGCACAACAACATGATATTTTTTGGAATCAAAATATGCAACAGCGACAGTCATAGTAATTCCCCGTTCCCTTTCTTCAGTGCTCTCGTCCAATGCCCAAGCGTAAGCAAAGGATCCTTTGCCCTGATTGAATTATAAACACTACATTAATCCATCAAAAACAAGTATGAACAGCACTAATGCATGCAAATATGCCACACAAACAAACAAAGTCACTATGAGATACCTGTAATTTGGCTTCTTTTTCATATTTGTGCATTTCTTTTTGAGATATTCGTCCGAGAAGAAACAGCAGTCTACCTGAGAGTGTTGATTTTCCCGAATCAACATGGCCAACCTAGATGATATCAGGTAAGTAAGCATCACAGATATGACTAAATAAAAAACTGAAAGCTCGATTTCTTGTAACAAAAGACAAAAATTCAGTGGTTGACTTACTATTGCAAGATTTAGTTGAGTCAATCTATCTCCTGTATTGTCAGGAAGCATCCATTTTTCAGGCTTATACTGTGTATTTGAATTCTTTCTTCTAGCATTAACACTAGATGAGCTTCCAGATTTAAGAGACAATGATGAGTTCTTTGTATTACTGGGACCACTTTGTAGTTGAGCTATATTAGTTGAAGAACCACTGCTATCATGTGCATCACTTAAACAGATGCTAACTGCATCATTAGAATGACTGCCATGACTGTCTTTTGACATTACAGTAGAAGAGCTATCTGAACTTCTAGTGCTTACTTGTACTACTTCATTTTTCGAATATTTTCTATTATTCATGGTATCTTGCTTGTCTTTTGGCACTAATGCTTTGGCACTATCAGATTTTTTGGCACTTAATTTATCAACTGCACCATTTTTCTCAGAGAAACTGGAGGAAACTCTGGAAGATTTCGTGTCTAGAAGATTGCCTACAGTTCAAGACAATACAGCAGTATGATACAGTTAAAATCAAGCAAAAAGAAAGCACTGATAAAATTCTTTCACTAGAATGCATCAATCTGGCTTACTATAGCTAGCAAGACAACAGAATTATAAGGTACAAATGCACACACAATCACAAAAAACTCAAGAATCAAGTACTGCCAATAAATGACAATCATGAAACAAAGATATATATCTAAATGCTTCAAATACAAAAAAGAGATCCTACTGTTTCCTAGGTATAAATATAACAGCATTTGTGGTTTGATTTTTTTTTAAATGGACTTCTAGAGACATCAAAAGCATAACCAGTAAAGAATACCTTTCTAACCCATTTTGGAGGAACGCAATCCCTCAGAAACCAAATCATCTGGTGATGGGACATCAAACTTAAAAGGGGCTGTATCATCAACATATGTAAGGACAGAAATCAGACATAGAATCTAGTCAGAATTTCAAGAAGCAGATAGACAGCCACTGGACAACAGTAAAACTTATTATACTCATAACGAAGTGTTATAACCAAACAAAGGTTATGTTAAATCTCCAAAGCTACAACTCCAAATCCTATTCTAAGACATGTGCAGACCTATTTTGATTTTGGAGTGGCTATGGGAACTAAAAGCCTCATGGAATTCATGAAAATTTCCTTTGATATTCCCAATCTTGTGGAAGTAATTGCACTCTTCTGTCACAACATCATCATTCTGCTGTTGACCTACTACAGCCTTTTTGGGCGTCCGATGCGGCAATGATGCAAAAAGAGACTTGGCCATCATGGATGCTCCAGAATTTTTGCATATGCCGCCAACTGCATGAAAGAGATCTACTCTATATAAAGGAACAACCAACTGAATGAAAATTGTGCAACAGGGACACTATCAAAGATGTCCAATTCATAACCTAAAACAGATGCAAACTTGCCACATTTTGTCCTCAAAAAATGATAGTGAAGTCAGCCAACAAAGTTGATGTCAAAACATGTCTAATACTACTATGTCATAATTTCCCAGAACTTTTGCACGTGCTGCCAACTGCACGAAAGAGATCTACTCTATATAAAGAACAACCAACTGAAGGAAAATTGTGCAGCAAGGACACTAGCAAAGATGTCCAATTCAAAACCTAAAACAGATGCAAATTGCCACATTTTGACCTCAATAAAATGATAGTAAAGTCAGCCAAGAAGGTTGATGTCAAACCTCTCTAATACTAATGTCATAATTTGTCAAAGAAGCCAAAAACAAAAGTCGGGGGAAAACCTGGGTCTTTGTCACACAGAAGATAAGAAGATGAAAATCGATCCATTAAGTGTCTAAGTGACTAGTTCTGGTTCAAGAAAAACAAATTAAAAAGCAAATTATTATGAGAGAACAATACACATACCTGTTGTGTTACTATTGTTGCCTGAAACTTTAACCAGAGGAGTACGGAGAACTCCACAAATATCACATGCAGGCATGCCCTCATCATTATCATAAGTACAAATAGAGCAGCGCCAAATTCCAGACTTGGAAGTTTCTTGCTTAGACTCAGGTGCTTCGCCTGTTTCAGCAAATCAAAATCAAGAAGTTGGTAAAATAAAGAAACACCCATATCAGCACCACATTCATAAAACTCCAAATTACTATCTTACAATAAAACTTTGCAATTGATGAACTAAGGGTCTAACCCGCTACCACCGTATAACCGAACAAAGAAGCAACATTATGAAGAGACTGAAAACTGGATGCTCCAAACGACTAACCCCAATAATACACATAACTAAAAAAGCGAAATGTTATAATCCCAGCGTGTAATTATCTGGTTATGGCAACTAATAACGTTTAACATTTTATTAGTAAAAAAATTCAATGAAAAAGTGCACAAAATTATGAATTGCACACAACAGAACATCAAACATACAAAGCATATTTGGTAAATGTTAGTATTTTAGCATAGTAACAGAGATTCTAACCGTTTCCCTCCACATCATAGTCGTAATCATGGTCGTCATAATCTTCATAATCATCGTAGCCGTCATCGTAATCATCAGCTCCGTAGTTAATTTTCCGAGGCATTGTCCTAATAAGATAAAATAATAACTGAATTAGAAATGCATCGACATACCATAAGAAATTCAAAGACCTAAAGTGCGAAGAACTTGAACTAGAAGTACATGCCTTGCAGATACCGAGAGAATTTAGTACTGATTTAACAACTCATGGCGAATGAAAAGTTTGTTTAATGATAAGATCAACGGCCTCTTAGTTCAGAGCATGTTCTTTCTCCCACACGAAAGTATGCAGCTGTTTGTAAACACAGAGTGATTTGGTGAAGGAAGCCAAAACGGTGGCGAGAAAATTGTGTTTGGGAACAAAATTAGGAGATTCATAAATTAAATTTGAATTATTTTCGCGTTCTGAGAGAAAAGAAATAGTCAGAAATTTTTTATTAAAAAAATTAAAAAAAAATTACCCCGGAGAAACGGCGGATACGAGTAATGGAGATTGCTTCTGTTCTTTCTTTCTTTCTGATGTGTAAAGATACAGGCTACTTGTGAAGTGAAAAAAACTCTTTTAAATAAAAACCTAATAAATTATTTTAATTAAAAGATAGAATTTAAATGCTTTTCCAAAGTTTATATTTATATTATATAAATATAAAAAAAAAATTCCCTCACAATTATTTTATTTCATTTTACACCAAAGTTTTTTTTTTTTTTTTTTACTTTCTATATCAAATAAATAAATATATTTTTATTAAAAGAAAAGATAAATATTCAAATTATAATTAGTCCTTATAAAATTTGTAATATGATCAACAACAAACTTAACCACTCTTAATGTTAAGGTGAGACACTAAAAACTTTTATATCTATTACTCAAGAGGTTTTGAGTTCGATTCTCTTCAGTTTCTAATAGAGATAACCATTAAAAGAATTATCCGATCGTTAATTTCATGATCCCTAGAGATTTATCGAAATACACACAAATAGACTAAAACACCTCCAATTAAAAAAAAAAAAAAAAACTTCACAAAAATGCAATAATTAAAGTTAATGACCTATTATAAACATTTGATCCGAAGTTTGAGAATTTTCATTTAAAAATGAACATGTTTATTTCAGTAATATTCAGCTGATTGCAATTCTCGATTGGTTATGTCAAGGAAATAACGCTATTTGTTAAAATCATAAAATAAGGTGACCTTATAAATTATAATACGTATATATCTTATAAACATGATGAGTTTATAACTGAAAATAACTAATCTAGTGATACAAAAATTTCCAAAAACTTATCTTTTACAAAACCGTCATACAACAACAAAGAATAGAGCTATTACAACTACATTTCCTGGAAAACTATACAAGACATGTCCTATTTCTTCATATTGCAGCCTTGGTCTTTCGCCGGTTGCCTTCGTCTCAAGTTTTTCTACTTTTATATGTAGTATATATGATATATTTAATCAATCAAACACGGATTTCTACGAGTGTATGTTTCAAAGCCAAGCTCTGAGTCAAGAGAGAAATGCTCGCAGCTGCTCATCAGTTGTCGGTATGGTATAATACTCGTCCAAATCATTTGAAATGTGATGTTGTTATATAGCTAATTCCAGAACTTGGATCACCTGTCTGATAGGACAGAGTCACTCCAAGAAAGAACAAGATCCCGGACAACAGTGGGAAAGTCTGCAAGATGAGGCTCAAAAGTTTGAGAAGCAAATGTAGAACATGATAAATATGATATAATCCTCGGCCTTAAAATAAATAAGCAAACAACAGAACAGATTTGTTTGCCTCATAACACAAAACTAAAGGGCACTGTGTATAATTTGGAGAAGTTGAATGAAATTTACCTCGTACAACTTCAACAGCCACTGTAGGCATATCTATGTCACTTTCAACTAGTCTATATACATCCACAAGCTGCAAAATACACAATAACATCTCAGCACATTTATAAATAAGTTATTGCAATTGGATAAGGAAACAAATAATATTACAATTCACAAACCTCCTGAATGTGAAGCTTTGAATCTTCAGTCAGAGCAAGAAGAAGCTGTCGGCGGATTCCTTCATCAGTGAAGAAAAGGCGAGTTCCATCTTTAATGGTGTCAGTCAAGTCCAGCTTTCTCTTAAATTGCAAGCTCTTTGAATTTTGCCTGCAAAAAAAAAAATGTAATTATAGCATCTTAAAGCCGTCAAGCAGAATAAATAACAAAGTTTGCAAGTGAATACTGAGATGACACATACATGCTCTTTACTTGCAATGCAGGATTTCTGCTCATTCTCGCCACATTTTCCTTTGCAAGGACAATAAGGTTTTCAAGCCGTTTCCATTGGAAAACTCCATCTTTGAAAAGAACCTAACAAAGGAGTAGATCAAACTTTAAAAACTTCAACCTTTAGGCAGTTGATTATAGCTAATCAGGTTGTGACATATCTTCTCCAAGCATTGAACTCCAAATAAATAGGTACTTGTAAGGTACAGCTAATGATTAGCACACTTTTTTAGTAAGATGCACTTCTTTTGGCAGGAGTAAGGCTTTCAAACTTTTACCTGTATGAGACGTTCACGAAGAGCTGGATTTGGGTCTGTCAGCAAGCGCTTTGCCACATATGGATAAGCAACCTAGTTTACAGCTTAAGATCAATACGCATTGAAGAGGAAAATGAAAACAAAAAAAAAACTGTATCAAAATGTACTGATAATTGCCACTGCAGCTAAAAAAATATCATGCACGATGAGAGAGCCTAATTCACGAAAACAGAGAGCGACAATAACTATTGTAGTAGGTCTTGATCATTTTTGTTGGAAGAAATTTCACAAAGAGAGATTGGGGATTCAGGACATTGCTACCAGAGCTGACATAAGAGATGAGGAAAACAGGACAAGACCGGTCTTCACCTCAAGAAATTTAAAATCTGGCTTCAATGTGAAACAGATGCCCTCTTGAGTCAGCAAAGAACGGATAACAAGAGAAAACCTCTCTGGGATACGGATAGGGTAGTCGTAAACCAACTTGTTAAATTGTCCTGCAGTAAATAAAGAACAAATCTTAGTTTGATCAGATTACCCAGTAAATCATCTAAAGTGGATACAAAGGAAAAAACAAGAATCTAGTGTGAGTAGTATATTATATATAAGAACCTGTAACGCTTCGGAAATTAAAATCAGAGAGTCCTTTTCCAGCTGAGTTTTGCCAAATCGCTTCTAATGCTGGAACAATAGGAGAGACATCGGTCCCTTTGGCCAAGAAGCCAAGCCTGGTAAAATCATTTGCCATTTCGGCATAGTCCTCATTAACAGCATGGACAACAGCATCGATCAAAATCTGTTTATTTTGCTGAAAGACATAAACCAGATCAAGATGAGGGCCCAGGAAGAGGCATAATCTACCACATTTATGTGTCACAAACTTCTCTAGCAGGAATAATGACATTGTTATTAATTTTATTTAACTTCTCTACCAGATTTCATTGCGTCCCACCCCCTCACCTTCATAGGTAACATCTCATAAACAAGTTCTTTAATTTGGTATAAGGGGTATTTTATTGTGATACATTCACCAATAGTAATTGATGACATAAGTAATTCCAGTCCCTTTTTCCTTTTCTTTTTCTTTTTTTCCTGATCATGCCTTTGGTAACCGAAACAACCTCTGTGAATTGTACAAGTGCACTTCTTGTGAAGATATGAGGATGTTATAAAAAAGTTAATAGATCCTTCTCTTTGCGGACAACCCATACCCTTTTGGCAATCTTTATGCTAATTCCTAAAGCACAATACCATCAACAACATTCATGATACACTATATAGTCAACTTATATTATTATGTTACCACTTGACTTGATAGTTTAAGCCTATAAAAAAGGACCCAAATATAGTATTTAAGTTCTAATCTCTTATTAACAATTAATACTATCTATATCTGGTATTATCTTAAGATTTATGCCAAAAAAAATATGTAATTCATTATATGTCATAGCTTTATTCAGAATAAATCTTACTAAAATTCAAATTGACTTCGTATTGCATAAATTGAGAAACACAACTCACTTGACTGAGCTCAGCAACATTCCCAAAGTCCACATAAGCAATGCGTCCATCACGCATAGCAAAGATATTACCAGGATGTGGATCTCCATGAAATAATCCAAATTCTAGCAGCTGTCGTAAAGCAGCACTCACCCCAACTGTCAGAAATCCATCTACATCAATGCCAGCTGTCTTAATAGCCTGAGATACAAAGACCAAAAATTATGATATAAGGTAATATCTGGCAATATTGCTTTCATGAAAGTGATCAAGTACACAATTGCATCATCTATCTTTAATCTTGACATTCAACCTGTGGATCAGTGCACCGAATACCATCTATCCATTCCATCACTAAAACACGTGAACCAGAAAGCTGCTTGTAAACCCGAGGGATTTTGACAGTGGGATCATCTTTAAAGTTTTCCAGAAAGTCTTCGATATTTCGAGCTTCCTGAAAAAGATTGAACCTAAACTTAACTAAACTATAGAAGAAAATAAGGAAATAACTTACCGCAAGGTGAGTGTTTTAAAGCCAAGGACACAAAAGAAATGTGCCCAAAATATTTGTTTTAACAGCCTCTTTAGAAGGGGGCCAAACTAATCCAGATATTATTATGTGAAAGAACATGAGACAGTTCTAAAAGGTACCAAAGTGTAATCAAGCTCCTCCAAAAGCTTTTCACCAAATTCATCAACTATCAGCTCAGCATTGCAACCGAGTTTCTGTAGACTAATTCCATTTAAGAATGAAGCAAGAGTTCTGAATAGAAAAAGATCCCGATAGATTATAGGCTCTATCTGAGGCCTCTGCACCTGTAAGCGTATGAAATTGCCTTAATTACATTACAAAACTTCCACACCTAACTTTTAGATACAAGGGTAACAAGGCAACACATTACAAACCTTAATTGCAACATCCTCCCCTGTGTCACGCAGGGTGGCTCTGTAAACTTGGCCTAGACTTGCAGCTGCTATTGTCCGTGAAGAAATTTTGCTGAAGATAGATTCCAGGGGTTGGCCCAATTCCTCTTCTATAATGCTAAAAGCAACCTATGAAACCATTCACTAGTTAAGCAAAAGGATCCAATACAAGCCCATTTAAAATGGGATATTTCAAAAAACATTCCATAAAAACTTCTTGCTGCAAAAAGACAACTTGTTAGTGAAGTGTGCTTTAACCTGATTAGGGAAAGGGGGGACATCATCTTGAAGAATGCAGAGTTCATTCATGTAATCTTCTCTAATAATATCAGGCCTGTTTGCAAGCACCTGCAGAACATGGACACTAGCCGGTCAATAGCTGAACTAACAACTATTAAGCATATGCTTGACACTGAAAAAAAATGGCTAAGTCAAGCTTCAACACATATGTACCAGTTGTCAAGTTCAAATAAAAGTAAAACACTCCAACATTTCTATAAACTATAAAACTTAAAAACTTAAAACTCAAAAGAAAACAATAATAATGAAGACAAATTTAGAAAAGTCTTAAATACG